TTTTTTTTTTTTTTTTTTTAATAAATCAAATTGAATCGAGATTTGATATATTCATTATATCATATATTTATTATATTAAATATATAATTTGATTATATTCGAAATATTCATTAAAAGTCGTTCGTATTAAATTTGATTAAGAAAAATTCTCTTTTTATAATTTCTCCAAATCAATTTATAAGAATTTTATCGATATCGAAGATTATATATATAATGATATATGATTTCTTAGATAAGAATATTATATTATTCTTTGAAAATCGATTTTTTTCATAGATATAACGAGAATCTAGATTTTCAAGTTTTCTCAATCTTATTCAAATATAAAGAATACATATAAATAGAATTAGAAATATATCAAAGAATTATAAGATAAAGAATTCATAATATTACATATATTCTTTTCTATAAACTATTTCTAAGAAGAATCGATAGAAAATTCTCTCATAATTCGTTAGATAAAAGAAAAAATTAAGATATTAAAGATATATAATATTAGAATTGCTTTGAAAGGCTCGAATGTAGCTCGATCTCGTGAGGGACTTAGCCCCAACGATATATTCTCCACGCGTATTTTCATTTTCACGTATAATTTTATAATAAATGACTTTTACAAATACCATAATTTATTCGTGTCGGCAAGATATCTAATAAAATATAACTTCCTTTGCAACAATGACCATAGATATTATTATTTGTATATTCTCTTCGGATTTTTTTTTGCAATACGAGAGGCGCCTCCATCGATTTAACTCCTCTAAATCATATGAGAGTGCAAATAGCCCTGCCATCTTCAAAATTATTTCTTTTTATCAACTTATATCAAAATTTTCTATAAATATTTTAGTCTGGCTATCGACTCCTTTAAGATTTAGATAACCTTATAAAAGACCCTCCTTATAATGAAGATTAAAATCATTATATTTCAAAATATTTCTTCCCATTCCTATCATGAACCATTTAAAACGATAAATATCCATATCCTTAAAATAAATAAATTATTGCGATTATCAATCTTCTTATGAAAAAAAAATATATCTAATAATATGCTCGCGTTATCTCAAGACGTATGCTTAAAAGAGAATCTATAACTTATATATAGCTCCATAAGCCCATTTTATAATGAAAATTTAATGCTATGAACGGTTCATCATTACGTGGTTCATCGTTTATTATACAAAAGACGTCTTAACGTTCTCGCATTAGATATAAATAATATCATAAAAAAATCGATTCAAATATATCATATCATCTAATTATCAAATTTTAATATCGTATTATCATCAAATTTTTATCATTTTTATCATATTATAATATTTAAATAATCAAAAAAATATAAATGAAACGGAAAGATCGGAGATCGGAGAGAATTTTATGATCAAAAATCTGAGAAATTTCAATTTATATCTTTTCCATAAGCCTTCTCAGTCTAAGCAATTTTAAGTCCTTTATAGAGTCTGTAGGAAATATTTTAGATGACAGCCGGAAATGTTAGTCCCCGCGCGAGTGACAAGCGATATGGCCGCAATCTTTCAATTTTAATGCATCATACCGAAAATGCTTCAAATATTATATTATAGATATTATATTCATCTGGATTCTGGATATTCTGAGCACTTCTATCGTACGAGCTACCAGTGTTGCATCCAAGCGCAGGTCAAAGCATGCATCAGGATTCCCCCTGCCTCAGTGCTGCTCAAGCACTAAGTCTTTCAAAGGCCTGCCTGAGCAATTTCAAAAAACTAAGATTCAGGCAACGCCCGCATTTAGAGACTCCATAAGCTCGGACATTGGCAGTGCTACCTGGTTCAGCCATCTCAATTAGCAGCTCTACGCTCCCAGTCAGCGTTGCTCAACAAAATGCTCCTGCATGCAGCTTCGCAGAAGTCCTGCATGAACACCATCAGCTTCGTTGCCTGCGCTTCTATATATGATTTGGAGTAATCGGTACAGAGAAGAAATGCACCTACAACGAGGCAGAAGCCACGCTGTCCGGACAAATTTTGCATCCTGAGCCACTCAGCCAGACTCGAAATGCGATGAGAGTGCTCTGCTTGGGAGCCGGCACTTCAGATGCAGGTTTGCCATCCGTATGAGCAGCACAAAGAAGCAATTCATGCCTCCACGAGACATCAATACACACTTCTTCTTGGCGTGACTGATCCGGGGAAGGATCATCAAAACAAAAGACGAGTCAGGATTTGTGACCAAGTCCCTTGGCAACAAAGCTCTGAAACGTGAGAACATCTGCAGGTTACTTGCCGGCTCATTCCAGTTGAACTTCAACCGCTGAACGCTTTGCATGGTCTTGCCAAGATCAGCAAAAGTTCTATGTCGAGAGCCTGGTTTCTGCAGATCTGTATGACATCAGCCAAAAAGAGCTCCAAACTTCTAAGGACTTCAGGAGGGACCCCTAATAGGGACCCTTGTAGCTTATGGGGGTTAATATGCGGAGTACCTAGGGATATAGGGGTTATATAATGACTACATAGGGGTAATATATGGTAATGGGATTAAGTGTCCCAATTAGGAGTCCCTCCTAAAGCCCCTAGAAAACTGCAATGTGCTGCGCTGGGGCTATTAAAAAAACAGGAGCAAGGTACAGAAAAACATAACCACTCCAGACTGAAACCAAGCACTCTGATCATTTGCTGAAGCCCTCCCGCAGGCCTCTCACATAGCTCCACCAGCTGCTGCGCCGTGGCATAGCGATAAGGTCTGTCAATGGTGTCATGGCTGACCGTCTGATGCGAAGGCTCTTGTTCTAAGTTCCCGGCAGCGTCCAAGCAACGGCCTGCGCTGGAAGTTACATGTGGCAAAGGAGCAAGAAGTGCTCAGGAGCAACAGAAATAGATGTCACAAGCTGACCCGGCCTGGGAAGCCTCCAGGACTTTGTAGCAGAATGGATCCGCGCCTTACCCAAATGCAGCCACCTCTGAACTTGCTGCAAAGCACAGATGCGTAGGAGCGACATTCAGCACTGAACACAATTCCGTCGAACTTCAGTGCGACAGCACTGCTCAGCAGAAGGCCTGTGGCGCCAACGCTGGAAAAGGACGGACCATGCCGCATCCCCGCATCCGACCACAAGTCAATTTCAAGCAAGTAATCACCACTAAGCGGCCCATGTTCTCTGGATGCTTGATCTTGTCGACTGCAAGGAGGCATCTTGTTGAAGAATGGAACCTGGATCCAGCGAGAGCTTGCAGGATCCTACCCAGAGCTGCTTAGAGTAGATTTGCTAACATCACATCCAGCTCAGACCACGGCTCCTCCGTGGCTTGGGGCTGGCTGATTTGTCCTGCAGGGTTCAGCCAGACTGCTTGTGGCAAGGCATTCAATATCATTCAGCCAAAGAAGTCCTATGACCAAATCGTCGTCGTCCAGGCTTTTCAGGGGGGCCTTTTGTTCTGGCAAGCTTTCATGATAGCCTCCACAGAGAAGATTAGTCACCAGGGTGCCTTCGGGCCGAAGAGCACATGTTGCCTTTGGCAGCAGCCGACATTTCAAATGCGTCACAGCCCGGCACGGCCGTGTAGGTTCCACGCAGGACGGTTTTGGGAGTTCTAACCACTTTGTCCTAAAGAGCAAGCGCAAGCTTCAGGGAAGCTTTTGTGCACGGGGATCATTCCGAGGCACTCGCTGCATTGTAAAAAGTTGCTGCATCTCGGGACTCATGTGTAAACACCTGCACTCTTCTAGCTGCTTGTACTACCGTACTTGTCAAGATGGGCGCCTTGTCAAACTTGAAATGCTCTCCAATGGACTGTATAACCTGACGCCCACGGACCTGCAGCTGTGCAAGAGGTTTGCCAAGCTACAGGCAATCGTCAACCAGCATGACATGGGCGTGTCAAGCATGCAATCAAGCCCACTGCTACGCATTGCCCTTTGTGCATGCGAGCTCGTCTGCGCCCGACACGGAGTCTGAAGAGCTCCTGAAAATCATGGCTGTCAGTGATCAAAAGGACAGTTTCAAATTGCATGTCTTGACATCACGCAACAATGCTGCAAGCAGCTGAAAAGGCAACTACTCCCCGTCCTTGATCGCAGGGTTTCTGATTGACAGAATATCATAGACAGCCGACATGGGGCAACCAATGTTATACTTCCTTCATGAAGATGACCCTTGCAATGCTTCCTTCAACCAAGCATTTCGCGTGCTTGGTAGAAACCACCAATCTACATCTACTGGCATAAGCTCTAGTTACATTACAGCGAGCCGTGACTCTGGGTCTGCGAGACGAATGCGCGGCGGCTGTATGCCCCAGAGTTGATATTGAAGTCATAAGCTTGTGCAATGGACAACGGTACTCACTGCATCTCTCAACATGTCTCAACAGCGCACGAGAGCATGGATGCAAACCGCAAGCCCTGCTGCGGCAATTTTCATAACCTCAAGGGGCGAGGTCGGCTTCGGTTGGATGTAAGCTGCCGGTCATAGACCATAGGTAGCAGGCAGTTGACTCCGACAACTTGCCCACATTCAAGCAGAAACTGAATTGGCACTCATGCCTAGCTTGGCTCGTACTCCTAGTATGGCATTGCATGTGGTACGCGGGATAGCCTATGGCAAAAAGCCGAAGTGTAGCTAGTCCACTGTGGTTACTCGAGAGCTGGTGAGCTAAACTGCTAGTTGCTGTGTCTTCCATAGCCTTCCCAAAGGAGGCTGCAGCATCATCACTCAGCGCATCCTTGCGCCTCATAAAATGCTCTCCAGTCCAGATTCCACAGCGTGTGTTGGTAGGAGCATGATATGTAACTAGGCCATATTCTTCCTGTGCTCCTTGATTTCCCAGGTCTGCATGACACATTAAAGCCACATGGAATACCCAGGTCACACAAAGCTCAGACTTCTGCTCCGAGCAAAGCCGTTTCCCAACAAACCTTTTCCGCTACACTACACTCTGGCCAAATCTAAGCCCAGCACGAGTCTTCAGATTTGGTGAGCTTCCAATGTCTGTCCACCTTTGCGCATATGACCACGTCTTCATACGTGATAGCAGTAGCAAGGGTACTCGTAAACAGCAAAAAGTCAAAATTGCCAACTCCCTACGCCTGATGTGCACGTGACACCGTGCGGTGTGTGTGGCTTCTCTTGTGACTTCCATGACATACCAGTATGTCTTGTGAGCATCAAGGGCGAGCAAGAGGGAATGCCTTGCGCACAGGGAGACCCCCGCACAACTTGTTACGGGCCGGCCTGTAACAACCTGTGGCACTCGAGGTTATGTACATGTTCAGGCTGTCTGCTTGTACTGGTCCATCTGTATGCCGAGAGTTCAAGATGCCCACTCATAACTTCCCAATTGCCAACCCAAAGCTGCGAATGGAAGTTTTGTGCATAACGACCCTGACAACCTTCCGCAGCTGGGCGACTGTTCGGCGCAGATGCTGCCAAGCTAACCAACTTGATTGCACAAGACCAGGAGTTCAACGAGTGAAGATGCTGTGGTCACACACCCTAGATAGTGAACGCTCAGCAGCAGCGCAGTGAGGATTTCATTATCTTGAACAGCAGAGAGCACACGCCCGTAGTGGTACCTGTACCAATGAGGCTGCCAACGTGGCCACAGCGAAGCTTGATCAACTTGGTGTATCTGTATCTGTAGCTGTGCAATGCTTTCTTTGTGCGATACCTCCGCGGCATCAAGGATTTGTTCAGGGCTGTGGAGCGCTAAACGTTGTTGCTGCAGAGCTCTTGACCAGCTTCACAGTCACGTCTGCTACAGTCTACAGCTCTCTAGAACATGATGTCAGCTTGTGAAGTCAAACCCTCAAAGAATGCAAGCTTCAGCTAAAACATGAGAAATTGTCCTGTTGCCAACTCATGAGACGACACTAGTGAGGCGGCAGGGAACCCGTCATGTAGCATGCCGTCCATGGTTGCATGCAGCGAAAACCAACAAGTGGAAGGCGCTGCAGACAAGCCGCATCCGTACCTTCTTTCTTGGCTCTACTTCTTGCGATCGCGGTCACGGCTGCGAGAACGCTCACGCTTGCGCTCCTCAAGCTTCTGCATGCTTCTGCACGGACGGAATATGGCTATTCACAATCCTAGCGTGCCTTCTCCTTGTCCTTCTTTTTGTCCTTGTCCTTCTCTCGCTCCCGCTCCTTTTCTTTTTCCTTTTCCTTTTCCTTGTCTCTGCCTTTCCTGTCTTTCTTGTCGTCTTCTTCCTGCCGGCAGGAATCGAGGGCAGCATTCCTGAAGCTTGTCATGCAGCTGCCCTGCAGCTGGGATCCAGCCTTTTCTCGATCGCGGTCCTGCCAAGGGGCTCTCTGTGAGACTGCCAACATACGGAAAGAGCGAGACATGCCAAGACTTGAAGAAGGATGCGCGCGTTCATCACGCGGACTCCCTGTTTGCTCTAGCAAGGCAAAACCAGGCAAACGATGCACAGGGTATGTCTTGCACAATGTCAATCCATGCAAGCAGCTTTTTGCAGATTATCTGATACAAGGGGCTGGAAGCCTGAGTAAGCTGAATGTGCTCAGGAACACTTGCAAAGAGGAGGAGTAATAAGCGGCATCAAGATAAGTTTTATGTAATTTCGTACCACGAACGAGTGTTGTGCAGAATGAAGTTTTTTACACCCCGGCATCAACTTTCAAGAGCCTGCCACAAATGCCACAAGACCTTGTGGTCCGGCCCAGCTACTGCACCAAGATGCCTAGAGTAACCTTGCCTTCTCCTTGTCCTTCTTCTTATCAGCCTTTTCTTCCTTCTCCTTTTCCTTCAGCTTTTCGGTCGTCTCGGCAAGCCGCCTGTCAATGGAACGAGCATAAGTGCTGAAAGGGTAGCAGCAGCGTGCACCACAGGTCCTCTGCTTCTTCTTTGACGGCTTGCCTTTCCACAAACCCAGAAACTGAAGCCATCTTGTGATGAAAGCTGTGCTGGGCCTTGGCGCCCGGGTCCACGTCCACCACCAAGCCGGCGAGGAAGCCAGCCCTCCACCGTGCGACCGCGCTCCACATCAACCATGACGCGGCGACCTTTGCACTTCTCCTACTCTTCAGCTCCTACTTTCCACCCGTTGGCTTTCAATGGCGCTATACATTTCTCTCTAGGCTTTTGTCGTGCCATCATTGCTACCCTGCCTGAGCCCAAGTGGACACATCTGCCCTGTCGTGCCACTGGTGTGGAGTGCAGGGACAGTTCTGGTATGCGTGCACCCTATCCAAATCCATTGCAAATGCTCCAGGCAACTTTTTCATGGACTCAATTGGGATCAGGAGACTGAAGTGTGGAATCATAGGTGTTTTGCTTGGCCGACTGAGAATTCCAAGTAATATCAAGTAATGTAATGTTTTTTTTCAGACCATGAACAGTGTGCTACCGAGTCACCATCAATCTTCTTGCCATCTCCCTGCTTGTAGGCGTTCTTCAGGTCACGTTCATGCTCGAACTCGATGAAGGCATATCCTGGCCAGCTTCGAGCAGGCAGTCACACTGCCCCAGGCTTCCCTTGCAAGCCCCTGCTCTGTAACTTGATAAACACACTGCCTCTTGGCTTGCCCTTCTGATCGTAGACCATGCGAACCTGTCACTTGCCCGTAGATCACATACACAGTGCCGCCGTATCATTGACTTGCCGCACCTTCTTGATACTGCCAAAGACTTCGAACTCTCGCTTTAGTTTCTTTTCTGTTGTGTCATAGCCTTGGCATGAGGCTCTGCACGGCTATGCTCACTGTGCCTTGCAATGAGTTAGTGGCTGATGCGGCCAACAAAAAGCGTCTTGAAGGGATCACCGCTGGCGTTAGGGTCCTGTTTGCAGGGCGTGCTTTGCATTCTTTGAGGCATCGCGCCTTCTGAACTTCTGGCCATGGTCCTTATGAGGATCGTAGTTGTCGATGATCTTCTTCTGCGCTGCTTTGTGAGCCTGAACCTGTCTGCAGGTGCAGGTGCGACAGAGAGGGCGGACCAGCAAATTTGGGCTATAAACGGCCGGCCTTCTCTCGATGTCTTCTTGCCTTGCGCTCCAAAGGAGACTCCCAAGGTTCCCTGGGCGGCGGTGGATCCTGAGGGTGACACGGGTTCCTGCGATAACATGCATGGCACTGCGTTGCAAAGACGTGAAGGACGACCGATTGCCGAGAAGGCACCGTGGAGAAGAACTCAACATACCTGTGCTGACGTTGCCCAACAAGCACGATTTACAGGCACAATGCATAAGCATGCAAGCCATGACCAAATGATGCGCTTACGGATTGCACAATATTGAACATCATACATTCGTTGCGGTAGATACGCTGATTGTGCACCAGCTTGGACGGAAATTTACAGGTCGCAGCCTGAGATATATCAAGGTGCTCTGCACAGCCAGAGATCTTGATGGAAGGCTTCACGACGCATGGAGGTAGATGCTGCGGTGGGGGCCTGACAGAATTTCATCCCTCTCACGCTGCAGAGAAGATGCCCTTGCCGCTTGCCTGGGAGTGAAGAGTGCCAAAATATGCGCTGGCAGTCCCTGCGCAGACATCCCCAAAACTCGAAGCCTGGCAGGCACCAATTTCATACCTGAGACATCGGAAGAGCAGAAGTGCAAGACCTGGCCTGCGGCTCCGTCCAGTGCCAGGCGGGTGTGTTCAATGTGATACAGAGCGCAGACTATTGGGTTTGCTTGTCACTTCTTGTCCCAGCGCATATACATAATATGACAACAACTCGCAATGCTATGTCAAAGCATGCTTCAGCCGAGATGTCCACACGCAGGCCACGTGCATGCGAGCAAGATGAGCGTCTGGTCATCCCTTGCGCAGAAGATCGGAGACACACGGAGACATGCATGTCCCAGCTGTGCAAGCTTCCAGCACTGGAGGGAAGTGCTTGTATGAAACTTAGCGTCCAGGATGACACTCGCCTAGTTATCTGCACCTGCTAGGAGCTTGGAGGAATTTCTAAGCTTGAAGACTAGAAAATGCATAGTGGCAAAACAACGTTCCCTTCCAAACTCCTTAGAGCAAAGCTTGTTGTGACCTTTTTCTGAGAGAGCACGCTTGCTTGCGCCGCCAACCACAAGAGGAAAAATGGTTGGCAAATACATTAACATGGGCTTAACCAATGCAGCCCCATATGTGCTGGTTGGCACTTGCCGTGGTGAGAGCCACTTCTGCCCAAGCCTGTGCCTCAGGGGCCTCACGCTGGACTGGAGCAAACTAGAAATCTGGGCTTGAGCGGGCCAATCCCCAGATCGCTACAGCAACGCCCTGTTCCGGGATGTTGGAAGCTGTACACACAAAGGCCAGCATGCTATGACCGGGATGAAGTATGACTCGGCTCATCAGTTCACTGTCATCATTGCTAGTTTTCACGCCTGCCGCCCTGTAGAACCCGGCGCACATGGCATGGACATCATGGGCCCAGGAATGGAAGCACCGAGCGACGCGCACGCACCTCCTGAAGTCCAAAGGTCAAGTAGCATGCCCAAATGAACTCCGTGCTTGACTTGCATGGGCTCTTTTCGACCCATAATCTAATGTAAACAGCCCTGAACCAAGCTGAGTGGGGCTCGACACGGTGATGCTTTTCTTTGAACGATGGTTACGGCTTGCTTGCCTCAGCTTACCAAGCCCGGTGTCTAGCTTATAGCGTTTTTCACCAAAGGAGCTTCTGCGACTTGTTGTGCCTTTACAGAGGCTCTAACATGTAGAGCTGACGGCGCTTACGGCGAAACATTGTTTGCGGTAGTACGCAAACCACATCTTTGCTTGCGGGCTCCATTTCTGCCACTCGCCCTCCTGTTTCCTTTTGGGGAGTTTTCATCTGCTCAGCTGAGTGGTTCATGTCAAGCTGCCTGGCTCTGGGCTTCCAGTGACTTTGCTGAATCAAACGCCCAAGTTCGACTAAACGGGTAGCTATCTTATGTTTCTTTGATGTGTCGCTGTTCCCAGCAGTCAGTGGCCAGGCAGCTAATAATTACTTGCGGAAAGAATTTCCTCCTGCCCAACCCTCATCAGCGAGCCCTGAATAAGGTGTCAAGGACGAGTTGGAGCCGGCCGGCATGTCCAAAGGTCTAAATCTTAGACCTTTGGACATGCACTCTCAAAGAGCCTTGCCTGTCCGAAATCGCCTGAAGGAAGCCGACAGAGGTCTGTTTGCAAGCATCCAGATCCCGAGGACCACAACACCCCAATTAGACGCCACAGGCATCAACCAAGAACGCTTTTGATCGGGTAGTGCAAAGAAACGTTAACTGTCTGGCTGTCCTGCAAAGTCAGAAAGGCCTTGTGTCATCGTCTGCCCTTGGTTCAGGCTGGCAGAAACAAAAGCTTTGGCAGACGTGTGAAAGTGACTAGGACGGCCTGCCATCCCGAAGCCCAACCTGGGTGGCACATCGAATTGGCTTGGCCCACCAAGGCCTTGGATGCTTCAAGCGGGCCATTTCACATCGCCGCGTCGAAATGGGTTCCCATCTCAGGAAGCATGGCGTTGCAGTCAACTGGATGGTTTACGAGTTTGCGCATTTAGGGGCTAAGCTAGCTCCTGTAAGCAGCAGCAGTACTATTTCTGGCTTTTGCCAGGATGCCTGCGACGCTGATGTCCTCCAGCCCAGGACCGAGCCCAGAGGTTGGCGAATTGATGCCGGGCCAGCTGGGCATCTTTGAAGGCGGTGGCAACCTTGGCAAAGGACCAGGCAACACGACATATTTCACGGCAAAGATTGCGGGCATGCTGCAAAGAACCAGCAGTGCTAGAGGCCTGAAACAGCCGATCCAAAGGATCCAGTGGGACACAACGTGCTTTCTAACCGGTGTGGCTGTGTCAGCTGTGCCTTGTACTCCAGCGAGGGCAGCTCGGCGAACATGTCATCTGTATGCCTTAGAGATTTTTTGGAAGTGCTGGCGCCCCTCTGCATGATCGTGAAATGACCTTGTGATGCTCGTTGCAAAGCTCCAGCTTCAGCTTCCATGCATCGTTACGACCAGAAAAAATGGCTCCAAAAGTCGAAATTCCTCTCAGCGGCCCCAAAGTCCCGCAGATTGCCTTTACAGTGCTGAGTGCACTGAAGCTACAGATCCGAGCAAACGGATTGCTGGGCATGGCTGGGTGCCTTGAAGCCCAGGTCCAGCTCCAAGTGCTCAACTCGGGCTTGTAGCAAATTATGCTTCGACTCTAAGAGCTGCCCAGCCAGGACCTGCATCCTCAGCAGGGCCCTTAACGTGTGGTGCGATCATTTGCTCTGGCATAAGTTCTACCGCGGCTTTCTGCAAACCAGTCCTATATGATCCTATACGCACACAACAAAAAAGTCAAGACAAGTGTCTGAAGTTCCGACTTTGTGTTGGTCAGAGCTTGCTGGTACTGGCGAATTTCAGCTTGCAGGTGCGCATTCTGCCACCTTGATTCATACTTGTCAAAGAATAGTGGGTGCCAACCTGGACAGGCATGGCCGAGGGGCTGCAGGAACAACACAGACGCCTGCGAAGAGTTGGAACGCTTCAACTCTGATGGCAGGTCCTCGGTCATTTTGCTAAGTTATGCTAAGTTGTATGCCTGCTTGATAAATGAAAACAATCATCTGCAAGTCTCTGTTGTTGAGCTCCATATTGGGGACGGGCTGGGTTGAACTGCTTGTGCTGCTTGTTGGGCCTTGAACAGGACATCAGAGCACAGACAGAAGCAGCACAAACTACAAGTGCGTCCTTGTAAGACAAGGTGCTTGCTGAAGCTGTTGTCTCAGCGACATAGATTCGCCTCTTGACATCCTCATCTGCTCGTCGGCCATGATGAGCCTGAGCTCATGCTGGAATCTTCCCGGCTTAGCCAGAATACTCACGCAGCACGGCAGGCAATATCCAAGCACACTGCTTCTGCTGCATCTGCTGCATGACGTGCCTCGCTTTCTGAAGCTCCTGTGCTGAAGGGCATGTAGTGCTTTGACCATGATCAGGCTGGCCAGCCAGCCTCCCTACTGTGAGGAGATCAGCTATTACTGTCCAAAAATGAAAATGTGCCTGGAAGAGCTCACTCTTCATACAGCGTAGGTGCTTACAGCAACTCCGTGCAGTTCAGGGCCCTCAGGGCACCGTCGCAACTTTTTACGGGACCTGACGGTCCTGAGAAGCGTTGCAATTACCATTCCTGTACTTGTTTGCCGTTACCATCTGTTGCGATTGATTGTATTAGTTGCCTGGGTTGCACGGACCACCCGCACGAAAGAAAACACAGGTGACTCCCAAGGCAACAGCCGTTACTGCCGTTACTGCAGGAAGGACTACAAAGCGTCTACAACAAGTGTCTCATCTTCCTCTGCATGCCTGGCTACGCAAGGCCTCATGTCTAGCGGTCTAGCGGGCTCCCTGTCTCAGAGCAGGTCCTCCTGCAGCTGCAAGACCATCCTTGCCGTACTTGAGCAAAGCAGTGGACTCTTTCCAATCAGGGCCCAACAGCCTATTGTACAAATCGATCAGCAGTTCATCCTCTAATGCTGCCGTGGATCTGGTTTGGCAACTCCTTCACAGGCTCTTCCTCCTGTACCATGCTGGACAGCTGCAGCTAGAATGGACTCTTGTGCCAACAGCATTGTCGTAGGCATCAGCCACCAGCCACGAGCCTTCGGCTTGGCTTTGCCTTCTTCTTGGACCGGCTTCGGTTGCTCGGCTGGTTGTCTGAGCGGCTGCGGCGTTGCTTCCTGCGCAATGTATTGCTCATACAAGCTTCATGGAGAAAATCCATGCCGACAAGATGCCGTCTCGGCAGCCACGAAGTAAAACCTGAAGTTGGGCGGACTGCCCTTCATGCAGTTATCGACAGTCGCCCAACCCCTAGCTCATTGAACGTCATCTGCATTGCCAACCAAAATCAACCCCTGCAAGTACAAAGCCGGACGCAGCGGCACAAGAAGTCTTATCAAGGTCTTTCTCAGCAGCACCCCATGCGCGGCAAAACGGGCATTTCATCCAAGTATCACATGAAAGGATACAGTTTGCTAATTTGCAGCTTAAGGGGCTCACCGGCACCTTGAACATCACCGGCTAAAAGACGCAAGCCACGCTTCTGGAGCTCAGCCTTGCAGTCTGATTGCTATGAAGGAGTCCTTAACGTCATGTAATGCCTTGTAGATAACAGGGGTTGTTGATCCCTCCGGCCCATGTAAGCACTTCTGTTTGGTAATTGTACTCCACCCGTCTGTCCTCCACATCGGCACTGAGCCTGCACCTTGCACTGCGTGACATGATGATCCTGTTGTCGGCGGCCTCAGATCCAAGGTAAGTGAGGCAAGATCCTTCTTGCTACTTCCCAATTCCCCTCCCGCGCCTCCCCGCAGAAGATCATGGCCTCGGCAGAGGAAACAACAAAAGATCTTGGCCTCTGCATGTTTCCGATCTAGCAATCCTACTAAGCTGAGCGGAAGTGTGCCGACATGGGACCTTCTGGAGGGTTGCGCTGAATAAACTGCTCTGTGGATATTGCCGATCCGCATCTTCCCTCCCCCGGATGACAGCCGGGACGCTCATGTCCTCAGACATTGTGAACTGC